TTGAATTCAGCTTGCATTTCTGAAAGTTCATTGTCTATATACTGCTACAACCATTTTTGAATTATCTTCAGTAAGATTTTACTTGCATGTGATATCAATGATATTGTTTGATAATTTTCACATTCTGTGGGATCACCTTTCTTTGGAATGGGTACAAATATGGATCTCTTCCAGTCAGTTGGCCAAGTAGCTGTCTTCCGAATTTCTTGGCATAGCCAAGTGAGTGCCTCCAGCACAGCATCCATTTGTTGAAACATCTCAATGGGTATTCTGTGAATTCCTGAAGGCTTGTTTTTGGGTAATTCCTTCAGTGCAGCTTTGACTTCTTCCTTCGATACCAGTGGTTCTTGATAATATGCCATCTCCTAAAATTGATGATCATCTACCAATCCTTTTTGTATCCCATCCATCTTTGTATATATATATATATATGTGTGTGTGTGTGTGTGTGTGTCTGTGTGTGTGTATTTCCTGCATCATTCAACATATTGCCCATGGAATATTTCAATATTGCAACTCAAGCCTTAAATTTTTTCCTCAGTTCTTTCAGCTTGAGAAGTGCCTAGCATGCTTTTCCCTTTTGGTTTTCTAACTTCTGGTCTTTGCACATTTCATTCTAATAATTGACTTTGTCTTCTCAAGCTGCTCTTTGAAATCTTCTGTTTAGCTCTTTTATCCTGTCAATTCTTCCATCCACTTTAGCTATTCTCCATACAATGGCAAGTTTCAGACTCTCTTCTGATATCCATTTTGATATTTTCTTCCTTTCTTGTCTTTTTAATGACCTTTTGCTTTCTTCATGGATGATGTTCTTGATGTCATCCCACAATTCTTTTGGGTTTTGGTCATTGTGTTCAATGCATCAAATCTATTCTTTAGATGCTCTCTAAACTCAGGAGGGATATATTCAAGATCAGGAGCTCTGGTAGTGTAGTGCCTAAGGCACTTGACTGCTAACCAGAAAGATGGCGGTTCAAACCCACCAGCCACTCCTTGGAAGGAAGGTTGGGCAATCTACTTCCATAGTGATACTGCCTCAGAAACCCCAAGGGGGGGTCTCTATGAGTCGAGTCCAACTTGATGGCACATAACAACAACATAACAACAAAATATTCAAGATCATGTTTTGGCTCTTGTGAACTTGTTTTAATTGTCTTCAACTTCAACTTGACCTTGCATATGAGCAGTTAGTGGTCTGTTCCACAGCCAGCTCCTGGCCTTGTTTTGGCTGAAGATATTGAGCTTCTCCATCACCTCTTGCCACAGATATAGTCAATCCAATTCCTGTGTACTCCTCCTGGTGAACTCCAATTGTATAGGCACTGTTCATGTTGTTGAAAAAAGGTATTTGCAATGAATAAGTCATTGGTCTTGCAAAATTCTATCATGTGATCTCCAGAGTCATTTCTATCACCAAAGCCATATTTTCTAACTACCAGTGATTCTTTGTTTCCAACTTTTGCATTCCAGTCACCAGTGATAATTAACACATATTCATTGCATGTATGGTTAATTTCAGACTGCAGAAGTTGATAAAAATCTTCAATGTCCTCATCTTTAGTTTTGGTGGTTGCTGTATAAATTTGAATAATAGTAATATTAATTGGTCCTCCTCGTAGGTGTATAGATATTTTCCTGTCACTGACAGCATTGTATTTCAGGATAGATCTTGATGCATTCTTTGTGATGATGAATGCCATGCCATTCTTCTTCAATTTGTCATTCCTGGCATAGTAGATTATATGATTTTCTGATTCAAAATGGCCAAAAAGTCCATATCAGCTCACTAATGCCTAGGATATCAATTTCATTTTTCACAACTTCCAATTTTCCTAGATTCATACTTCTTACATTCCATGTTCCAATTATTAGTGGATGTTTGCAGCTGTTTCTTCTCATCTTGAGACATGCTACCCCAGCAAATGGGGGTCCTGAAAGCTTTCCTCTATTCACATCATTAAAGTTGGCAGGACAACTTTTATGTGCATCACATAGATACTAAAAATAATCTCTCTCACTCTCCCTCTCTGAACACACAGTCAATTTTGACTCATAGTGACAGACTGCCCTATAGGGTTTACAAGGCTGTAAATATTTACAGAAGACAGAAAGGAGAATACTGAGGGAGGGGGAGTAGTTGATGTTAGAGATGATGGAGTGGTACAACAGTTTGGTAAAGTTGAACATTTGGGACATCTTTAACCTTTGCCTCATAGGAACCAGCTTTTTGCTGATCCTTATTTTAAAAAGTATTCACTTAGGAGTAACAAAATATGTGACTGACTTCACTTAGCATATTGTTTTCAAGGTTCAACCATGCTGTGTCAGTACTTCTTTCCTTTTTGTGACTAAATAATATTCCATTATATGTACATACCATATATATATATATAAATTGTTGGACAATTGGTTTGTTTCCATCTTATGGCAATTATTAATAGTGCTACTATGATCATTTTTGTACCAACTTGTATGTACAAGTTTTGTGGGTTTGTGTTCAATTGTTCAATACCAATTCTTTTGTATACATATCTAGGAGTGGAAATGGTAGTTCTATGTTAAACTTTTTGAGGAAACGCCAAACTTTTCCACAGTGGCTACCCCATTTTATATTATGAGTTGCAATACATGAGGATTCCAATTTCTTTACATTCTCACCAATCCTTCTTATTTCCTCCCAGAGCTTCTTTTCAGTTGCTGCAACAACCCAGGGGAATTTCTTTGCACTTTAATCTAGATACGGCAGACTCTGGCTCCTGGAGACTTCTTTACAAGTCCCACATGCAAAGGCATTGTGGTGGCATCTCTCAGGAGTATTGAGGATCTGTTCTAAACCATGTAAATATTTCCACAAGTGGATGCATAGTTGCTACAAGACCCATCAAACGGAAGACAGTGATCTTGGTGAGTGCTAATGATCAGAGTCTGTGTCTGCTATGCATGCTTGAGATTGGCATTTGGATTCACAGAAACTGAATCAAAGCCTAGACTACTGGGAGAGAGAATAAAATGGCAGATCAGTGATACTATGTGTACATCTAGATGAAATAGAAACATAGCAAATGGCATAACCCTAGCTCACAAAACCAATAAGATTAAAATCAGGACTTCATCCCAGGTCACAATGGCAGAAATGTTAAATATCCTATTCTTTTGCCTCTTTTTACTATACATACTATCTTGACAAGAAGTGAAATACAAAAGAGGAGGAAAACAAAAAAGCATAGTAGGCAAAAGAGGATATGTAATGAGTTTGAGCTCCCATATGCTTAAGAGTGACAGCACATATACTCTGATACAGAAAAACATTCAATATGGTGATCAGCTATCAATCAGTCTTGCACTATGCTTCATATTTCAAAAATTGAACTCAAACTTTATTCTAGGGGGACTTGAATTTAAGATGAAAGTAGCTGGTGGGTTTGAACTGCCAGCCTTCTGGTTAGTGGTCAAGTGGTTTAGGCACTATGCCACCACAACTCCTACTAGTAGCACAGTGCCTTGAAAATAGTAAGTATTCAATTAATGATAGCTATTATAATTGTTTTGGTTGTTAAGATTATCATGATTTTTACTATCTTCCAATAATGTCTAATTCATGAAGAATAGAAGAGGTAATGTATTTACTTACTCTGAACTCATACTTACTCTGACACAGTGTTATCTTCTAGTTGGCACCTCTGCCTTTCATACTTATGGTGCAGGTCAGGATTGATACTAGGTTTATACATGGAGAGTTCAAAGGGAAAAGAATCAAAGAGAAATTCATTCCTAATACCAATACTTTATCTTGGGCTTTTTATTTTAAATCTGTATAGATCTATTAAGTACGGAAGAATTGCCCAACGGGAACAGACAATGAGTTTTAAAGACTATGACCACCATCAGCCTGCAGAAGAATGACTTCTCTCAATGTCACTGAGTTCCATCCTTCTTCATTCCTTTTGTTGGGGATTCCAGGATGGGATGCTGCACAAATCTGGTTTGGCTTTCCTTTCTGTGTTGTTTACCTAACTGCTCTTGTGGGAAATGCCATTATCTTGTTTGTGATCTGGACTGATCATAGCCTCCACCAACCCATGTTCTACTTTCTGGCCATGCTCTCAGGGATTGACCCAGGTCTCTCCACTGCTACCATCCCCCAGATGCTGGGCATCTTCTGGTTCAGCTTCCAGGAACTGGGCTTTGGGTGCTGTGTTGCACAAGTCTTTTTTATCCACTTGTTCACAGTCATGGAGAGCATTGTACTTCTGGGCATGGACTTTGATCGCTATGTAGCTATTTGCAACCCCCTGAGGTATACTACGATCCTCACCAACAGAACCGTTGGTGTGATTGCTGTCCTTGTAGTCCTAAGAAGCTTATTCATGATTGCTCCTATCATTTTTCTCCTCCTGAGACTTCCTTATTGTGGACACAGAATCATCCCTCACACTTATTGTGAGCATATGGGAGTGGCTCGCCTGGCTTGTGCCAGCATCACTGTCAACCTTTATTATGGTCTAGGGAATATTTCTATCTTGTTTCTGAATGTGCTTCTTATCATCATTTCCTGTGCTAGGATCTTATACACTATCTTCCACCTTCCTTCTCAAGATGCCCGTTTGAAGGCTCTAAATACTTGTAGCTCCCATATCTGTGTCATCACAGCTTTCTTTGGCCCAGCTCTGTTCTCCTTTCTCACTCATCGTTTTGGTCATAGTATTCCCCAGTGTATCCATATACTCCTAGCTAACTTCTATGTGGTTATTCCCCCTGCTCTCAACCCAGTTATTTATGGGTTGAGGACCAAACAAATCCAGGAGCAAGTGCAGAATCTCTTTGTTATAAAAAGACTGAATGAGAAGTAATTAATTAAGACTATGAAGGGATAAGGCCTTCAAAGATTTCCAATTGTGATGAAATGAATAAAGAAATTGGTATCACCATTTGTCAATTACTTACATATGAATATCAAAAATAATTAGTGTCAGCAATTGTTGGAGGCATGTGTATTTGTCTGTGTCTAAATGTATACATATATTACCATTCTCTGTTAACTCCTGTATTCTCGCTGGCACAGAATTTGACATACAAGAGTAAATTTCAAGGACCACTGGATTTATTGAAGCAAGAACTATTTGTTAGAACTATCTGGTGTTCTAGATCTTTTTAAGGTAAAAACAATACTTGTTTTTCATAGAATTGTTCAAAATAAAGGTAATTAGGCCACTTGTAGCTATTAAGAGAAATGCAAAAAGATTTTGTAAAAAAATAAAGTATAACCTAGAAATAATTAGGTTTTTTAAAATAATAATAATAAAGGATATGCAAGCAAGGAATATGGTTTAAATTAGATTTTTTTTTTTTAACCTTTTCTGTACTCAAATCTTTCTGATACTCTGAAGTTCTCCAGAAGCTAACCTCATATTATATATTCTTGTTCTTGGACTGGAAATTTAGCCCTATGTTATCTGTGATGACACTTTCTTCTTGGAGCTTAAATGTGATTGAGGAATGAGTGAAAATCATCATAGGGTATATTAGTACAATGAAATGAAAATAAAGTTATTTGGTTAAAACACAGATAACAAAGGGATATAATATTACTGAACAATTGGAGTCATATTTCAGAAAGATTAAAATGATATCTTTGGTAGCCTGCTGTCTATTATTTGAAAATGGAGTGTCACTGAAGTCTATAATCAGATTAATGAAATGATAATATAGAAATTTTTCTTTTCCTCTCCATTTAGAATAGGTAAGGGGTAGACAATTAATGAGGCACAAAATTAATTTCAGATAATTTTATGATTCAAGGAGAATTGGATTTTAGGTAGTGGAAATGTAAGTAAAGACAGGCATACCAAGTCTGAGATACAGGGAGAGGCATTATGACAAGATTTAGCCACAAATTAGAGATAACAAGGATGGCTGTTTATTTATTTTGTGTGTTTGTTTGCTTTGAGGCTAGATGACTCTGGTTGAACATTGAAATGTTTAAGAAGAAAATTATTCATGAATTTTAAAAAAGAAAATGTAGAAAAGAGGTAGAGTCAGAATCAGATTATAAGGAAATATAAAAAATTGAAGATGTGAAAAAGTGAGTATGACAAGGGTATAACATATGCACCCATTGGAGGTATAAAAAATGCATCCATAGTTTCCAAAACTGACAATAAAAAAGAAATAGGAACTTAAAGGAAATGTTAAAGGATTGAATGTCCTGAGGAGAAAAATGTTCAGACAGAAATAATCAGTATACCCAATTCTATGACAGTCCTATTGAACTTTATTAATTTAACAAATAAATATTTTCAAAATATATTATTTAATGTTGATCATTTAATCTCAGAAAGAGATTCCTCTCAGAAACAAGAGTTAATATTGAGGTAACAATGAAGAGAAAAAGAAAGACAGTAAGAATTCCATGTCTACAAGTTTGACAAGCATTGATGATCAATGTAATTTTACCTATACTATCTCATTTCAAATCTTCTATCCTTTAAAGTATGGATGGAGTGCCAATTACTCAATTAATGAAGTATATATTATGATTGGGGATATATTTGAAATTCTGCCTAAATTTCCATGTCAAAGTATTTTATGAGAATGAGTGCTTATCTCTGATCTCTTACAAGTACATGTTGAAATGAGAAATAAGGTAGAAGTAAAATAATAAATATATAGCAGCATTGGGAAATAGAAGCATATCTCAACAACAGATCAGATATTTGGGGTGGAAAGGGGAAATGAAGAAAAGAGAATTAAGATGGGTGGAAAGAATTAAAAAAAAAAAAACCTAAAACAAGTAAAACATAACTACCCACATTGTGTACCACATTGGGTAGTACCACATTGTTTCCCAAACAAGCACAAAATCAATTTCCAATTCAAGGTCAACCAGTAAGCAGAGCAGGTCACCAGGGTACTTAATTTATGCCTGTATTCATAGAATACATGGGTCGATCATCCTTCCTCTTGTGCACAAGGTAAAGGCAGACTTGGACTTATTCCCCAAAAATATGTACAATTGGCTTAACATTTGATAATCAATTAATGAAAATAAAAATATTGAAAGAATGGAGTAAAAAAGAAAATGTGATCAGCTCAATAAGTAGAGAAAAGTATTTGATAAAATCTGCTATCTATTTATAATCATCAAAAACCTCTTAAATAAACTAAGCATGAAGGACTGCTCCTTAATCTGATAAAAATATGCATATCTAAAAAAGGAAAGTTATGTATATTACAGTAACATATAAAAATATTTGCCTTATGTTATGAAAACTTCTTAGCCATAACCAAACAACTTGAAGGAGTAAGTTGCTGGGCCTGGAGGCTCAGGACCATAGTCTCAGGCGAAATCAAGGTTAAATGGCATAACATATGCCACAAATATAATGTCTTACATCCTACTTTAGGAGCTCTGGTAGCACAGTGCCTAAGGCACTTGACTGCTAACCAAAAGGCTGGTGGTTCAAACCCACCAGTCACTCCTCGGAAGGAAGGTTGGGAGATCTACTTCCGCAGCGATACTGTCTTGGCAACCCAAGGAGGGGTCGCTTAAAGTCAGGGCCAACTCAACGGCACACAACAACAACAAAATCCTACTTTGGTGAGTATGGACTGGCATCTTAAAAGCCTGTGAGCAGCCACCTAAGGTGCAACTATTGATTTTCCCCATCCAGAACAAAAAAGAGTGAAGAAAAGATGCATGGAAACAGCCCAATGAACAATTACTCCTATGAAAGGAATCACAACAGGAGGTGCTGGATAGAGAGAGAGAATAAAAAAAGTGGAGCAAGATTCCAAATTATAGAAAAGACCAGGCTTACTGGTCTGATAAAGATTGATGGAACCCCTGAGACTATCGTCTTTAGTCATGCTTCAAATCTGAACACACCCCCTCAACGCTCAAGTTTCATTGAAATAGTAGAAAGTCTATAAAGTAAATAATAATGCCAGGGAGGTATACACTCCTTAAAATAATCAACCATATGAAATCAAAAGAGCAGCATTTGCCCAGGGATAAAGCTCAGAAGGTAGGAGGGGATAGGAAAGAAGGATGAATAGAAATACAAAACACAGGGAGAAAGTGGGAAGAGTACTGTTAAATCGTGGGGACTACAATCAATGTCACAAAAAATGTGTATAGATTATTTAATGGAACACCAATTTTCTCTGTAAACTTTCATCAAAATCACAATAAATTGTTATATATATAAATTGCCCTGAGATTAAAAATAAGAGAAGGATGCCGTTAACCCATTTCTATTCAACATAAAACTGGAAGCCCTTGCAGTGCAATGAAAAATAATAATAAATAAATAAATAAATAAGCACGTAATAAGAATGGATTATAATTAGTAAGTGAATTTATAGAAGATTCTTGATATAAGAACTACCAAAATCAATTATATTTTCTTTATAGCAAAACTAAACAAGGAAGTACAGACAAGACAGAGTCCTAGTCCTAGTGGTAGACAACACCCAGTCTCTATACAACAAAGATCTGAGTACCAAGCAAAAGAGATACAGAAGATAATCCTGGATCTATGCATATCAATCAAAGGATAAAGGTTTAGCTTAAACACTGGTTGGTGAAATAAACTGAACAAAAGCGGTTTTGAGGAGAGATTTAGAGTAGAGGCATCCTGATACCCAGCCCAGCACAGTGGAGATTTTGGGACATAGCAGACATCATTCCTGGTGAGAAGGCAATTACACAGAATCCCCAATAATATGGAATCACAGTGTAAACAAAGCTGGAGTGAAGCAAGGTGAGAGGAACACAAGCTAGAACTAAGGAGGGAAAGTGCAAGGAAGAGGACAAGATCATCAGAAACACAGGCAGCTACAAAGGACAGCTACAAAGGAAGGAGAGAGTCAGTAAATAGGGATAGAACCACTCATCACATAGAGGGGAAGGCCTTTGAGGTGGCAGCTAGCAATGCTGGACTCTACGTACACCTCCCTTCCTTGAGTTGGAGCAGGAGCCAGTTAACTGGCTGCACAGGCCCAGGAGTGCACTGGTGACAGTGCCAATGAACTTTGACCTGAAGAGCTACACCATCCTGTTGACCATTGATGTGGCCCTAACAGCCCCCACCCACTTAATTTGGTTCACCCTAACCACCTTCCTGCCTCATCAAGTGCCACCCACTTTCTGAGACCCAGCACCCCATGCACTTATATGGATCACACACCTTGCACCCGCCACTTCTGCAGCTGGTATCGGGTGCTCATGCAGACCTAGCTCTGCACATTCACTGATTTCATGGTCAGGCTGTGTGCTCATGCAGACCACACATCTTGTGCTCACCACTTCCATGGTAAGAGGTGTGAACACTACCTGCAGCTATCCTTTCTTTTTTCCTTTCTACCTCCCTTCTCTTCTTTTTTTTCTCTTCTTTCTCCTTTTCATTTATTTTTACCTCTTCTTCTTCTGTTATTTTTATTCTATTTTTGATTTTCTTTCTTTCTTATTTCTAAATTTTTTTGATCCATCTGGCAAGAAAAGGACATTGTGCCCCAACTACTCAGCCCCACCTGTCACACCTGCCACATAGTGTCCCGAATAATGGATAAGTACCACCACTCACTCCTGCACCACACTGGATCAACAACAGATGGTAGGCAACACCTGCTCAACCCACCTGCAGCTGCTCTACATGACCACGAACAGAAATCCATGCTCACACTCCTATCCTCTACCCTACCCACTTGAAGACAGGCAGTTAGCACCACAAACTGCCAAACTAATGACTATAGTTTTAAGTCCACCACACTCACTCCTACATAAAAAAAAAAAAAAAAAAAAAATCAGGACAAATCCAACCAACTCACAATCGATGAATAAATACAATAA